ATGGTAAAGAATAACCTTTCTATCGTTAGTTAAAAATATTATTTTAATTTTAAAAAAAATTTAATTTTTATTTATATATAGATTGTAAGCCATTTAACTTTTTTAACTTTTATAAATCTTAATACAATTAAATTTTGATTAAACTTTTTAATAGACAATATCTAAATGAATAATATCATAGGGAGTAAGTTTTTTATAATTTTTAATATTGCAATTTAAATATAACTAATTTATTTTTAAAAAAAATTTTAAAAATTTTAATGCTATTTTAGTTGGTAAGTTATTTTTATGTAGTTATATTTAATTTATAATCATTTTAACTCTTCAAATTTTTATTTTTAGAAAGTAAGTTATGTTTATTTACTACAATATCAATCAAAAATGCTAATATATTATTAATATTATAGAAAGATAATATTTTAATTAATCAATTATACTTTTTATTGTAATGAAATTTAAATTTTTCTAATTTTTTTATTTAAAAAAATAATAATCTTTTAGATTGTAAGTTATTTTTATTGATTATTAGTATTTAATTATACTTTTTACTATAATTTAAATTCAACTAAATTTTTTATTTAAAAAATAATTTAAAATTTTAGATTGTAAGTTATTATACAATATGTATTTAATTATACTTTTTACTATAATTTAATTTCAACTAAATTTTTTATTTAAAAAAATTATTTAAATTTTAGCCTGCAAGTTATTTTTATTGATTATCAGTATTTAATTATATCCTTTAAATTCAACTAAATTTTTTATTTAAAAAAATAATTAATGCTTAATAATATAATAGATAGTAAGTTATTTTTATTGATTATCAATAAATAAAAATTTTTAGGAACAATATGAGCTTTAGTTTCTTTGTACAAACTATTTTATTTTTGACAAATTTTGTACAAAACTTTTTTTCATATAGATAATGAGTATTTTTGTTATAGGATATCATGTTCACTACCACGAAGCTAAAAAGAAAATAAAGTTTCTTCTTAGCCAGATCACATAAATATTACCAATTTTGCATACTATTAGATTATATTCTGTCAATTATTAAAGGATATTTTTACAGAAGCATAATAAAATAAACTTAAATAATTGCTAAATGGTGTGGTGTCGACTTAAACTACTTTAATCATAATAATAAAAAAAAATCAAATCTATTATATATAATTTATTATTATTTAATAGGACCGCCATAATAATAGCTAAGGCATAATTCAAGCTATCTGTTATCACAGCTATAATATTAAATGGATTTGAAAAAAATGATCAAAAAATAAAAAAATATGAAAACCACTCAAAAATACTTAATCTGAGATAGTAAAAAACCTATGAAGTAAAAAAAAAAAATTTAAAAAAGATTCATAATAATCAGAAAAATCAAAACATTCATCGATGCAATTATAAAAAAAAAAAAGAAAGAACCAAATGCAAAAAAAATAATCAGTCTAGAAGCCAATTATGACAAATTTCAAAAATCACAGGATGTTCGATCACTTTGAGTGTCTGGCGACACAATTTTTTAGCCACCCATAAAAAATATGTGAATGGCTTTTTCGAATTCTGATATTACCAACCATATCATAAAGTAAGATTTTTTTGGGTTACGAGACATAGTAAATCATAAGATCCGTACCTCAATTTTAATAGAATACTACCCATATTATCATAAAATCAGATTTGATATAATATTGATGTATTTTATGGCATGTTTGATTAATAAAGAATGCATATAAAAATTTAATTATTGGAACAATAAAATTTAAATGACTTGTCACGTGATTAGTTCGAAATAAATATACTGAACTGGTTTTATAATGAAAAGTTGTACTCGATTTTGAATGTAATTTGATTTTACTTTTGACGTGACTTATGACATCCCATATGTAATACTTATTTACTGATATCCCTGTAATATCGGTAAATAACTAATATCTTTCATAAAAACCAGCCATTTTCGACGCATACGAAGGAATTGGTTAATACCTCCCATGATAAAAAAAAAATTTTGTAATATATTATGTGTTACTAGCAATAAGTTAGAATTTTAGTTAGTTCAATTTTTTTTTAAAAAAATTAAAAATAAAATCCTATAATAATAAATAATTTAACATTCTGCCCATTAGCTTCTAGATAATCCAAATTTACAACAAATATAATCTAAAAATTATTTTTATCAGATAATGATTTACATGTTTTAAAATTCAAAAAAAGCATAAAAAATGTTTAAAAAAAATATGATTGATTCCTATCCACAAAACGAGATATAAAGTTAAACTACATTTATTTCGGACAAATATAAATTAGAAAATCAAATGATTATGTATGCAATGTACAAACTTTAATATTAATATTCTAATTATTAATTTATGATGAATTAATATGACAAAAATCGAATTATTATATTTTAATATTTAATTATAATTCTTCTCAAGGAACAAATTCGAAATTCATTATTTTTTGTTTAATTCAGTATTTTCGTATTTGTATTTAATTTCATCGATTATTTGTTCTTATTCGAAGATAATCGTCTTGTAATACGCTATATGTATAAAAATTTAAATAAACTATAAATAAGTTGCAACAATTAGGAATCTCCATAATTAATATATAATCCTTCGTTTTTCAGTATCAGAAAGGAATGTTTTATAATTTGAAATCTTATTCACACATTATTTGACATACAACTAGGGTTGTTATCGGCTGAAATGAAACGACTCGAGTCAATTCTGGAATTGACTCTAAATTTAACTGAATCTGGATCTCCTGAGTTTGGAACAAATATTAAAAATAGAACCGGAACTCTTGAACCGACGCTAAAATCTGTTTGTCATCAAATTATGATAGTCATAAACAACTATCGTTTGATGGCCAAATAAATTTTAAAGTTCTACCTGTGTTTTAAATATGATGCTTTACTAATGAGAGACCTATGAGCTGATATCCTATCCCTACATACAACGCTATGGCTCTTAAAGCAAAGCGGATAAATAGCTGAGAATCTGCGTCATAAAAAAAGTTGACTTTAAGTAAAAATGGCAGAGTTGATAGCATTGATTAACAGTACAGTATATTTATTTAAACAATGAAAATTTAGAACTAATAAGAACTTAATCTCTTATATATATCTATCCATCAAAAGGTAGTCAAAATTTAAGACTTCCCTTCCCTCTGCTACCAATGATTTTTTAAAGAATATAATACTTTTGTGCAAAATTATTGTTTAAAATACGGTGTAAAAAAATAAAAAATATTCCTATGCGTGGTCTAATTTTATTCGTTTATCACAAAACTTATTCGTTACATGAAATCAAATTAATTAATGCTTCTAATGATAAATATTTAATCATTAAAAAAAATTAAGATACTATACTATATATTAAAAAATTTTTTAAATATATTAAACTGAATTCACGGTGTTTGCAAATGACCTTTCGATCCGTGATTGCGCCACTGCGGTTCTGATAATCGATCTATGTCGGAAATTTCGGAAAGGATACTTCGGATACTTCGGACTTTTCTGTCCGTTTGAACTCAATTAACCTTTAGAAAACGTGTCAATTTTGTTCTTTTTGACATCAGGGAGCAATTAATTTGTCAATCCCTGATTCAGCCGATATTTTTAAGGGGATTCCGTAACAAAGGCATAAGGAAGGAAATTTAGATACAAAACACTTCATTTTGCTCTAAGTCTCGATAGGTTGGACAGGCGCTGATTATGGCAGTAATAGTTTATTTTATTTGTATTCTATTAATAAACTTATTTCTTTTTCATCCTTTGTAATCCTTTTTTTCATTTTTAAATCATAAATCATTTTAGTAAATAAATAAATTATCTTAGTTACCTCAAATAACTCGAATGACATTATTTTATTTACTAAACTCAAGTTAAAATGTCATTTAGTAAATGACCTTATAATTTGTCATCACTGATTTTTCATGCGTATTAGTGAACAAATATCTAATGATTAAGCAATTGAACCTAATATAATGAAAAAAAATATATATTTGGGCAAATATATTTCAAAAGTACTAAAAAAAATATATTTACAACACGTACGATCGAGTTTAAATTTTTTTTATTGTCTATCATTGGAGTAAATGTTAGCTAAAACAACGTTTTAAAGCAGAAATCATCTTTTGGCGATGGCAAAAAACAAATAATAATATGAATATAATAAAATATTCTTTGTATGTATAAAAATATATTATTTTCAAAAAAGCACATTATCACTTTAAAGAAATAAAATTTAAATTTGTACTTTATTATTTTAAAAAGAAAGAGTTATGAAACAATATTATACTATTTTGTTAATTTAAATTCAAATATTTTTCTTCAAATCACCAACTATATACTTTAATTGGCAAAAAATAAAATTTTGATCACTAATTAAATATGATAATATTTTTCGAAAGGTTGAAATAAAAAATATTTTAAACGGAATTTCAATTTTTATAAATGATCATAAAGCTTATTAAATGTTCAATTTTATTGAAAATCTTAAAAATCTTAAATACTTATTAAATTATAAATTGCCAATTTCCGTATTATAAAAATGAAAAAACTTAAAATGAAAATGAATGTAATATAAAGAGTAAGTTGAACGAAGTAACGAGTATAATTTCGAAATTACAAGTAAAGCGAATTTGGATCGATGAAAAATTTTAACACCAAATGCCCTGAAAAAGATTCAGAAAAAGATGAATGATTACACTAAAATAAATAAATTTGAAGAGGACGATGTATTCGAAATTACGAATTTCCATATATGTATTAATTAGATGCTATTAACTTTTTTTTTAAAAAATAAATAAATAAATACAATAATCGTTTATTGCAATTAAGCGCTTGACTATTAATATATCGGTGCATTAGATATGATCGTTATAATCGTTATACATGAAATCATTAACTTTAAAAATGAATAACTCTCGTAGAATCAAAATTATAAATACAAAAAATCAGCATCCGAACTTTCATACATTCTCTGCGCTTGTTAATGATTATCCTGTTTAAACTGATAAATTGCCATCAAAACTTCCGAGTCTGAAAATTGTCTCATTTGACCCGCAACGTTCATTTCGCTTGGTGTTTGATACTGATTGAATTGATCAACTGTTAGATTAGAATCCGAATTTTCGTTAATTGGACCAGCGTTTTGTAATATTTGATGCCGATTGAACTTACAATCTGGCATCGAAGGAAAGGATTCCAAACTTTCGCCCATATGAAAAGATACCGAAGGAACAATCTCCGAACTTTTATTCATACGTTTGTCCACTGCGTTTGGTAATTTCTGATCCCGAAAGATTTGATATACTCTTTTTCGATTAATCTTATCTTCCTCTGGCATCTGTCTCCACAATTCTGCAATCATTTTGCTGTATTCCGGCATTGTCATATTATCTGGTTTAATTTTCATCATTTCTTTGCGGTAAGCAATGAATATGTTTGGCGCTCTTGACGAACTCATTTTGCCATTTTCAATTATTTCGGGCGTTTCTGGGTTAATAAAATAGAAATTCATTAGTTTAAAGGACTAAAATTTAATGTCTAATTTATTTGCAAAATAAAGGAGTAAAAAACACAAATGTAAATTGAAAGGTAATGGATAACTATTTATAATAAATCGACAAGTTCATATATATCCATGCAATTATCATTATATTCTTTTTATATTTTACATCAGATCAGATTTTCTCCAAAAAGGATCGAATTGATTCTTCGGATAATGCTTCTTCTCTCTTTTAAATTCAAATTCGTCCACTTAGATGAAATATAATTAGTCGTGTACTACCTAAAAATATATCATGAGGCGTCAAATGCTTATACGAGCATTGGCTCATTTAATTATTTATCTAATCTCTTCATGGTTTTCCCATCAAACAACAAAAATAGAACATAATATTATCTAATTAATCATCCTAATTAAATTTTTAGGTTAAATTTATTATTGCATATGCGATTTATAAAAATATATTGTTTAGCAATTATAGAACAATAAACATCAATTACAGTATGATATGACATAATTCGGTGTCAAATAGCGTGAAGCAGAGTGCTTTTTCCAAATATTATATAATTTAATTTATCTCGTAAATACTACTCGTGATCAAAAATTATGAGCCAATTAAATGTAAGCTAAGCTCAATATATAAATGATCGTCACACATTATATAATTGAATTCACGAAAGTTTATTCGACGAAATGACGCCACATTGTTAAAGTCCGAACAAATCACAAGGTTCTGGATTGATATTTTTTTTTTTGATCCAATCTTTTTAAACATTTCATCATAATTTAAGTCCATATCCATACGATAATTCTGCTACGAACTTAGGAAGTAATCCGCAGATCTATTTCACATAAATTTATCAGTTATTTGCAAATCTTGGGCATTATTATTTAAGAATATAAATACAAGTTCAAATTATGCAATAACAATGATATGGATTTCCCGTAATTTTTAGAAGATTTCTTTAGTGGTTAGAAATTTATTTTATTTGTTGAAAGTGTATGTAATAATGGAAGTCTAAGTAACTCAACTAATTGTCTTATATTAAATTTAGTAATCATATTATTTAACTTGTATTAATTATTTTATATAAATATCTTTCTAATAAAGAATTTATCTCTAGATTAAGGGTTTCATATTTAGTGCTCCGCATTATTGACCCGAATTAAGATTTCGTTCGGGTCTGGGTCGTAATGTAAAACCCGAGACCTGAGAATTATATTATTTGCTTGACCCGGAGTACTACTCACTTTAGCTCATCTTTTTGAATATAACTATGCAGTGCTATACAGGTGATGAAATTTCATTTTTTATTATCGCTGATAATGGACAGAGATGGGCCGAAAATAACTCAATATATGTAAATATTTAAAATAATTTGCAAGTTTAGTCAAATAATTTTTAAATATATATTTCATATTCTGATCAAGAATTATCAAAAAATAGCATATTGTAAAATTTCATCTTGTTTCAGACTCGTTAAATTATAATACGCAATTCTAGCAAGTTCAGATATTGATAAAATGTATTAATTTATTAATATATGATGTATATGATCATTATTTCTTTGGTTATTTTCATTTTGTTGGTAAGGTGAATGACTTCATACTAAATAGAATATATATAGAAAAGGAGATAAATGATTCCTTACATTGATAATATTTATTTGATATGTTACAGCTTACATTTGTTTCTGTTTTTGCTATTGTTATTATTGTTATTGATCATTATACATCTAAAAAAATAGAAATTTAATAGTTTAGGCTATTTTGTAATAAACTTTTATGAGTAAAATTAGTAATATTAAGTATGTGAGTACAGTCACATATTTAATAATTTTAGCATTAGTTATCCTTTTGATATAATAAATCTGATAAAGATACTATATATCGATAATATCTTCGCTTTTCTACATATAGTTTATAAAAAATTTTCCTAATGAGATTATTGATCTGATTTACTTATCTATTCCTTGAAGTTAATATCTATTTAATATATCATATAATAGCAGTTGCTAAATGTTTGTTTTCATTATAATTATATCATAAGTTTATTAGACTTGAATAAGTAGAAACAAAATTCTTATTTAAAGTTTCTTTAAAATAGTTTAGTTCTATTCGAAATAATTCAATTTGAATGAGCATAAAAATTTTGTTACTTATAGAAAGCCAAGCAGAACATTATTATTTTAAAATAATATTTTGAGTCGATCTTTCTACTACAATTTTTCAAAGATTTGCTATTCTTAAAATTCAAAAGCTTAACAATATCTTGATATTTCCTGACAGAATCAACTGTAACAGAAATGCTTTTCTTTAATATAAAAAATTTTTTTTTATTTTTGATTAAGTATTTTGATCAGATAAAATCAAAATAAAAAATATATAGATTAAAGAAGAAAAAAAATCGTAATAATCATAAAATGTATTTTTTGTCTATCTAACTAAAAAAATATAAAGTTTAATAGTTATAATGATTTTATTAAATTTTAATCTGCAAAATAAATAACTTTTCATATTATATCCTATAAATTATTATTTTAAACAAGTAAAATGACACTAGTTGAAATAGTCCAAATTGGCTATAAATTAGATGGCTGAATTTAGGCTGATTTTGGTATTATTTTCAGCAGATTTGTTATTTTCCGATTGGCACAATCTACGCCGATCGACCCAAATAGATAATATAAATTGACGCCAATCGATAAAACCATTCGGCATCAATTCAGAATATAAATTCCATTATAAATTGGCTTCAATTTGGCCAAATCGATGCCAATCACTCAATCCAATATAACCATTCGACATTAATTCAGAATATAAATTCCATCATAAATCAGCTTCGATTTGACCAAATAAGTATTATAAAAAATCAGCCAATAGCGATATATAATTTATTAGCAAATATTTAATAATAAAAGCTAATACAAAAACCAATTTGTTCTATATTAAAAAAAATAATGATAAATGATAAAAAAAAATCTTCCCAAAATCCACCAAAATCATCCCAAATATCTATATAATATAATAATAAATGATAAAAAAAAATCATCACAAAATCCCCCGAAATCATCCCAAATATCTATATAATATAATAATAAATGATAAAAAAAATCGTCCCAAAATCCCTCGAAATCATCCCAAATATCTATATAATATAATAATAAATGATAAAAAAAATCGTCACATTTTCCTTCCAAAAATTTCCTGTAATTAATTTATTCTTCCAGATTTTCATCATCACTTTCCGCTGCAGAAGAAACTCCCCTTTGAACCTCTTCTACTTCTTCACTTTCCGTAATTAGCTCTTCTTCTACACTGACTCCTGCATCTTATTCTGTACCATAAATGACATTTGACGATTATTCATTATAGACCATTTAGAAGCATTCAGGGGATGCAACTAGTTGTATTGCTGCAATTTGGCATTATATTTTTGTTTTCTTTGAATTTGAGACAAAGTTGCAGCAATTGGATTGAGTACATTTCTTAAAAGATTTTTGAGCTAAAAAAAGAAAAGTAGAAAGAATGTTAATATAAACATATTAAATAAAAATCAAAAAAATGTAAATTAAAAAAAATCTCAGCCAATCGCCACGAATAATCATATACAGCAATAATGGTTTTTTATTTAGCATCATCCATTTCGCTATTTCAGGCGAATGGTATTGACAAGTGGCTAGCATTTGGATTAAAGGCTACTTTTTATATTTTGTAATTCGCTTATCATTAATTGAATATAATGAATTAGCAGCCTTTATCCTTTGAATTTTTTTCTAGTAATAATAAATGATATTAAATTATTAATTCAAAAATATTCCAATTTATTCTATTTGCTTACATCATATACTCGATTATTATTATAGATTCGACGTTTTTCCACTAGGCCCTTTCCGCTTTCATTATTCTTCGAGCTGTTCAGCGCGACTTATGAAGCGTTTTCAACCAATCTGTTAATTAGTCAACAGATGGTCGAAAATTTGGATCCAAAGTCTTTCGTAATTCTAATATTAGATTACGACGTTTTTCAATATTTTTTGCTATTAAAAAATTCGTCATGATCTAAATTGTCTTTCACTGAGATTGTTTTTAAAATCACTTTCATTTCGGCCTAAATATAAAAAGCAGAAAATAAATCAGCTTAGAAATTTAAAATATTTAGACAAATTCAAACATACCTTGGCTCCTTTTGAATCAACCTCTATGTTTACCGAATTATCACTGTCCTCAGAATTAGTATTTGTCGATTCTTCTTCTAATTCGTCATTAGTACAGTAAACAGGATTCTTGCTTTTTGATTTCGATTTGCTAACTTTTCTTCACTTTGCAGGAGGACTGTCATCAGAATCGTCTTTGTGCTGCCTAAACAATTTTGGCAGTCGTAATTTATTAAATTGGTAAAGTCTTAAACATTTAGAAAAGAAAAAATTAGTTATTGAGAATTTTAGGATATTAGTAGTATACGAATTTACCTCTTCTGCAATTCATTATTTTCCTTGCCAAATTCTTTGTTTATTTCGGCTAAGAATTGATTTTTTTTTCTAATTGTTCGTTTCTTGATAAAAGATCAGAATTTTGTTTTTCTAATTTCTTGATCTTTTTACAAAAATCATCTAGCTGCTTCTTCAGCCTTTTATTTTCTATATAAAATAAAGAAAATATTTGTTAATTATCATAAATAATGAAAAGAAATGAATCAAAAATTAATACTATCTGTTGATTTATCGTCACTTTCAGCTTAAGTTAAAGCTGAAGTACCAGCCGTTGGCTGTTAATGATATTTTGATGGGAGCCGAATGCCCTTGAATAATTTATGTATTTCGTCAATATTTATTTGAACTATAATTTAAAAAGATATTTAGTATCAATATGAATAAATTATATATTAAAATTCAACTTACAATCTGAAATATTTAGCTCTTCTTCAGACGATTTTGGTTTTGAAATTATTTTTTGTCTTTTTTTTATTAAAACAATATAAAAATCAGTTTATTTTTTGAAAATCTGACTGT